CATATAAATATATCTTATCTTGTTTCATTTTTATCATGAGATTATCATGGGACAGAACTTATGGCACGACTACGTACATTCAGACCCTACCTCAGAGATCTGCCGGGTGGTACCTCCATGCTCGAAGGTCTGAGACCGTCTGCCGCCTATAGACAATCATAACGTCCATCGTCAAGGAAAACATTTTCTTAGGAAGAGATTCAAGAATGGTTGGATTTTGTGTACAATTTTGATGATTTTTAGGATTTGGAATGAGGAATGCCTGTTGGAACCTAGCTTGGGAGTCATTCACATGACATTGGAGGAAAAGAGCCCTCGGGATGTCTGATAGGCGTCTCGTTGGACGCCATCCACATAACAGCTTGGATTAAATCTCGGAACGCCTAAATGCCTGTTGAAATCCACCTTGAGCGCCATTCACATCATAGCCTGGATTAAATCTTGGAGTGTCTGATTGTCTGTTAAATCTCACGTAGGACGCCGCTCACATAACCGCTTGGAGTGAATATTGGAACGTCTGAATGTATGTTGGACCAGACCTTGAGCGCTATTCACATCATAGCCTGGATTAAATCTTGGAGCGTCTGAATGTCTGTTAAATCTCACGTCGGACACCGCTCACATAACGGCTTGGAGTCAATCTCGGACCGTCTGGATCGTTATTGAAACCCACCTTGTGCGCCATTCACATCCTAGCCTGGATTGAATCTCGGAGCGTCTGAATGTCTGTTAATCCCCACGTCGGGCGCTATTCACATAATGGCTTGGACTGAATCTCGGAACGTTTGAATGTCTGTTGAAAACCCACCTTGAGCGCCATTTACATCATAGCCTGGATTAAATCTCAGACCATCTAAATGTCTGTTGAACCCCACGTTGGACGTTATTCACATAACGGCTTGGATTGAATCTTGGAATATCTGAATGTCTGTTGAAATCCACCTTGAGCACCATTCACATCATAGCCTGGATTGAATCTCGGAGCGTCTGAATATCTGTTAATCCCCATGTTGGACGCCATTCACTTAACGGCTTGGATTGAATCTTGGAATATCTGAATGTCTGTTGAAATCCACCTTGAGCACCATTCACATCTAAGCCTGGATTGAATGTCTGTTAATCCTGACGTTGGACGCCATTCACTTAACGGCTTGGATTGAATGTTGGAATATCTGAATGTCTGTTGAAATCCAACTTGAGCACCATTCACATCTAAGCCTGGATTGAAACTCGGAGCGTCTGAATGTCTGTTAATCCTGACGTTGGACGCCATTCACATAACGGCTTGGATTGCATCTTATAATATCTGAGTGTCTGTTGAAACCCACCTTGAGCACCATTCACATCATAGCCTGGATTGAATCTCGGAGCGTCTGAATGTCTGTTAATCCCCACGTCGGGCGCTATTCACATAATGGCTTGGACTGAATCTGATCTGAATCAATGCCTGTTGAAACCCATCTTGAGCGTCAAATTCAGCATAGCCTGGATTAAATCTCGGACCATCTAAATGTCTGTTGAACCCCACGTTGGACGCTATTCACATAACGGCTTGGATTGAATCTTGGAATATCTGAATGTCTGTTGAAATCCACCTTGAGCACCATTCACATCATAGCCTGGATTGAATCTCGGAGCGTCTGAATATCTGTTAATCCCCATGTTGGACGCCATTCACTTAACGGCTTGGATTGAATCCTGGAATATCTGAATGTCTGTTGAAACCCATCTTGAGCACCATTCACATCATAGCCTGGATTGAATCTCGGAGCATCTGAATGTCTGTTAATCCCCACGTCGGGCGCCACTCACATAACGACTTGGACTGAATTTCGGAACGTCCGAATGTCTGTTGAAACCAACCTTGAGCGCCATTCACATCATAGACTACATTAAACCTCAGAGCGTCTTATGGTCTGTTGAACTCCTCGTTGGGCGCCATTCACATAACGCTTTGGAATGAATCTCGGAACGTCTGAATATCTGTTGGACAACACCATGGGCGCCATTCAGTTAATGGCTTAGATTGAATCTTGGAACCGTATCTTGGATCTACTTTGAGAGACAATTAGATTTTGGCTTGGAATGAATCGCGAAACGTCTGAAAGTTTCACATTGCACATCCTGATATAATGATTGGAGTGAATCTCGAATCGCTTGAATGTCTGTTGGACCCCACCGTGGGATCCGTCCGTATATTTCCATCAAATCTCCGAACTTCGGAATGCCTGTATGCTCCGATGTTGGGCGCCATTCAGGTCGGGGCATGTGCATGCGTGCCTATTGTACACCGCGCTGAGCACCATTCACATCATGTCTTGGAGTAAATCCCGGAATGTCCAAATATCTGTTAAAGCCCACGTTGGGCCCATTCAGTTATCTGTTGGATTGGATCTCGGCGTCGTCTGAGTGTGTATTGGACTTTGAGCGGATCTCGGATACGGATATATGGCGCTATTGAAATAACGGATTGTAGTTAATCTCGGGATATTGGAGTATCCATTAAAGCCCACGTTGGGCGACATACATATCTATGCTGGAGTGAATCTTGGAGCACCAGAATGTTTATTGGATCCCAGTTTGGGCGCTATTCAAATAATGGCTTGGGCCTGGAGTGAATCTCGGAACCGTCTAAATGTCTGTTGATCGTCGGATGATATCTACACATTCTATTAGGCTACATCCTTCTCATTTCTGCACAAATAATAAATACATCACGATTACAATGCCTCCATTGCCTATTGACTTGGAAAAAAGATATGCCCGCATAACTTCAAGACGCCCACACATCTAAACACATATCCGCGGCTATCTCTTACGTTGCATTCATTCACTTCCACACATCCATAAACCATACACTCAGAGCGTAACCGCATATGCGTGGCGCCCGACTCGGGGTCCAATAGACACTCACAGACAGTTGAAAACCGGATGGACCGCATTTACGGGCCCACTAAGCGCGACGGCGTCGTTCGTAGGACAGCCGCGCTCTTTTGTTCGCTGTGCTCAGCTTACTTTGCGCGGTGGATGTAGTGGGCAACGCCTGGCTGTTATTGAAACGCCGCGCCGCTGAAACTGAAAACGGGACTTGAAACGCGGGCGCGTACGTTCTGGGTTCTATCACTCTTCTGGTTTAGTGTTTCCTCAGTTGTGCGCGTTCTATTGTATCCGAAACATGGGGAAAGGTGGTGAAAAGTTCTCACAAGATGAGAATGTCAAGTTGGAGGGCCAACCGGAGGCTAAAGAAGGTGCAGGGCAAGGGGTGAGTTTCGGATTTTTGAATAAATGAAAAAATGTGTGAATGAGATAAGTACCAAACTCAGATTGAATTTAAAAAAAAAATAGTAGTTTAAAGTACGACGCAAAGATTTTGTGCTCGGAATATGCTGTTTACATATTATTTTCATTCATATTGTTATGTCTTCAGTTTGGATTTCAAAATTTCAATCGGGTTAGATGAGGTCATTTACTCCAGTCATGGAAGAATGGATACGCGAGGAAGCTTATAAGCTTTGAGTGAGGTTTCAGAGATTTAATATTATAAATGATTAATTATTGGAAATTATTTATGAAAAAAACGTGTGAAGCATAATACCTAATAGGAGAGAAGTTGGGAGCTCACTCATTATAGCACATTAGTTTAAAGTTTAAAGTATTTGATGATCTTCAATAAGCTATTTAGTGTCTTTCATTAATAATTGAAAAATGTGTGAAAGTTTAGGGATAAAACTGAGATCGAATGTCTTCTTCTTTGAAGTAAAGAGCAAAGCGTTTGCGATTTGAGCTTCCTATTTGCATTTCCCTTTGGTACATTGTATTCTGCTTTTTAAATTGCGTTTAAAAGTTTCTTTTCCATCGGTTTAGGATACGATAATAATGAAATAATGAATCCGCGAAAGCATGGGAAGCTTTGAGTAAAGTTTTGTGGGCAAATCGTCTAAAAGTTATTTCATTTATCAATCATTTATCTAATCGAGGATGAATGCTTAAAGGGTAGAGGTTTGTAAGCCGTGAGCAACGTTTTGTCGGAGTAACTTTTGTATCCTGTTTGTCATTTGGTTGTCATTGAGGCGGCTTCTCAAACTCTGGAGCATATACCTGCATGGTTTATATTATGCGTTTTTTGAGATTTATCCGTTAATAAAAAGTGTGATTCCTTAAAAATGGAGAGGATGCTTGTCTTTCCCTAGTTACTCTATAAAACAATTTAAGAGGTCTTTGTCGTGATTCAAAACGTTATTTTTGAAACACCGCATAAGCTTCAAATTACGAGTTATGTGCACCGTTTTGCTGGATATTGGCCAACTTTAACGCCACTCTTTAAATTTTTAGCATTTTGCAACATGTTATTTATTTTGGCGTTCTGGTTCAGATATGCTGCGAAGTACAGAACATTGGATTCATATCCTGGGGTGTTAAGCTTGAAGATGTTACATATCGTATCAAAATTGAATTACAAACATAGAAAAATGATCAAGATGGACTTGTGATTTTAACAATTGTGAGGATCTCCAGACGTGACAATAATATCTGGGTGAACCCAAGCCATAGCTTACGAGACTTCCAGAGATTACTGGGAGCGTCAAATAAACATCCTCTAAATGGGTTGTGCTTGTGGGTAACTGTGTCACATAATCACGGCGTATCCATATCTCTTTTATTTCAACAAACAATAGTTTCCGAAGAGTACATCAAATATTGCTGCGCTTAATTTTTTATATACAGAACGTCACTTAAGTGCCTTTGAAGTCTGTTATACCAGCGGTTGCTGGGATAATTGTATATATGGGAAAACTGTAACTGTAACACAGTTTTCCAACGTATCCTGATATAGTTTTGGGTATACAATCGTCTCATTATTTTTTATCAAAGTTTAAATCAAGTATTTTCCTTGACTGTTTATCATGGTACGAATAATAATCCTTTACTTCTCTTTCAAAATCCCTAAATGTGGTTCAAGGTTTAGTTTTCTGTTGTAACTTAAATCTATATTTTTGCAGGGATTCAATGGAAAATTAGCCTTTGCTATTGCTGCTTCTGCATTAGGATCATCCTTCCAACATGGTTACAATACGGGTGTGCTCAACAATCCGCAAAAGGTGAGTGATTTCAGGTATTTCCTATGTAACGGTAGCCATTATTATGTCACGTATGGTCACTTTCAATATCCCAAAGTCAAGCTCACTGACGCAGCTTTTTTGTTGTACGTTACATAAGTAGAACAGAGATGTGATTAATGTTGTCTGATTCCACAATTAACTGGAGAAAGTTAATCACGTTGATACAAAAGATTGTGACGGTTGATGATAAAACTTTTCTCTTATTTTTTCAAAGATCTGGCTTCAGTATTCTATATAAACGGTCGTTTGTTTGCATTGAGTGATGCTGGTGTAGACAGTCACAGACGGATTAGGTGCGATCACACATACGGGCTATTTGGTCGCTATGTGTCCGGACACCTAGTTTAGTAATTGTTACGAAAAGCAACCAAGATATTACGTTGCCTGATCAATACACAAAAGATCGGGCGTTACTTCTGAACCATAGAAAACTGAGCAACACTACGACCTTAAACTAACAACCACTACACACAACCCGCCATCAGATCGCTTTGTGTGACATTAACCACCAGCCTTATGAACCTTCTAGACCAGAGTTTCCCAACCTTTTTTTTGTTGAGGCTCCCCTAACTATAAATTATATTTTCATGCCTCTCTTTACTTTTTCCATAAATACAAAAAAGCACATTATACAGGGTTTGTCCGGAAAGTAATAGGACTGAGTCAATTTAAAAAAATGTATTGACCCAATCGTTATAATTCTTTAAAAACTTTCAAAATAGGCTCCTTCTGCGTCGAAGCAGCGCGATTTCCAAGCATTGAAGGCGCCACGGAAGGCATTCTCCGGAATAGCCTTGAGAGCCGCGGTGCATGCTGCTTGGATCCCCTCTGTTGTCTCAAAATGCTTGCCTTTCATCGGCCTTTTCAGGCGAGGAAACAAAACAAAGTCCGAGGGGGGGGGGGGGGCACATCTGGGCTGTAAGGCGTCTGCGGAAGCATTGGGATGCCGGTCAGGTAGCTGTTCACAAGAAAGGCGGTGTGAGCCGGGGCGTTGTCGTGGTGCAACTTCCAGTCGGCTGACCCTTCGTTTGAGTCTCCTGAGCACTTTCACGTAAAACTTGGCGTTGACGGTTTGTCCAGGAGGAACAAATTCATGGTGGACGATGCCTTTGATGTCAAAAAAGACAATGACCATCGTTTTCACTTTGGATTTGCTCATTCTTCCCTTTTTTGGGCGAGGAGACGCCGTCGTGTGCCACTCGGTTGCCTCTTTGTCTCGGGATCATACTCAAAGATCCACGACTCGTCACCTCTGTGATTACGTTATTTAAAAATTGGGGGTCACTTTCACACATGTTCAAATTTTCTTGGCACACTTCCACGCGCCGCAATTTCTGGTCGTCAGTGAGCACTTTTGGGAGCATCTTCGCGCATGTTCAAATGCTATGTCACAATGTCATGAACCACAGATTTTAGTAAATTTAACATCTGGGCAATTAAACAAATACTTAGTCGACGGTCTGAGTTCAAAACTTTGCGCACACGAGTCACATTATCGGTGTTTGTCGAAGTCGAAGGTCTTCCAGCACGGTCTTCATCAGCGACCTATTCCCGGCCCTCCAAAAAGGCCTGGTGCCACCGAAATACACCATTTCTTGCTAAGCAACACCTGGGTAAGCCTGCTTGATCATATCAAACGTCTCTGTCGCAGATTTACCGAGTTTCACACAGAATTTAATCGCGTACCTCTGCTCTAACGAACGCTGCATTTTCGGCCTGCACCACTCACAGAAACACGTCGCGCGAAAATGCCTGTCCTGACTCTCCAAGTGCTCGGAGAAAACTGACCAGCCGCCCATTCGTTAGCTAGGAACGCCCTCTACCGAATCCAGTCGGTGCGCACACGCAAGTACAGTCATGGCGGAAGAAAATGAGTCCTACTACTTTCCGGACAAACCCTGTATAGGTACAAAGACTTATTTTAATTCTAATAAAGAAACTTCAAAGTTTCAATAAACTAATAAATGTTTTTTCTCGAAAAACTTGAATAAAATAAGAGTAGGTACTAATGAGACACTTGAGATTGCATGTTCTGTACCAGTTGGTTGATTCTAGATTCTGTTTTTGCCAGAGCTATCATCAGATCGCTATCGACATCAAGACGATTTCGCTGTTTAGTTTTGATTAAAACTAGAGCAAAAAAGCCTGTCTCACATAACTAAGTTGAAGAAAATGGAACTAGTATTCGTAAGGCAAGTGTCGAATTAGGCAGTCAGTTGGTCCAAAATTTCTCCAATATTCAAAGATGGACGAATCAGCCTTCATTTCTAGAAATTCTTCCTGAACTTCTTCTGGTAATTGTGACACATCAACAACAAATGGATTTCTTGTCATGTGCCATATTGGTGTCTCTGAATTGATGTCTCGATAGTATCGGCGAAATTCGTCTTCCAGCGCTTGCAAATGAGTTTTTATATCAGCTTTTAAATTTGCGTCCAGTATGTTATTTTTAATTGCTTCGAACAGCCGAAAAACAGATATAACATTTTCAGAAGATATTTTTTGATTCCAAAGTTGAAGCTTTGATATGAACCCCTGAATATAATCATAATTGCTTATTATAGTGTTGTTTCTGACCTGAAGTTTCAAGCTTAGCTCGTACAAGAAGTCAAATATGTCAGTTTCATAAGCCAACCTCCATTGAAATCTTTCATCTTTGAACGTTGTCAAGAAATCGTGTTTATATTTGAACGCAAAAAAAAGAACCTCTTCTTTCAATTTATTAAGGCGAGCCAACATGTTGCCTTTGGACAGCTAGCGTACTTCTGTATGTGATCAGAATCGAGATCCTCGCAAAGTAAAGTAAATAACCGGCTGTTCAAAGCGCTGCTTTGATGTAGTTTACAATCCTCATAGCCGAGTCCAAAGTCTGGCGTAATTTCTCAATGTGTAATAATCGTTGCGGGATTTTTTTCCTTGAGCTTTTTAGCTAAACCCGATCGTACGCCTATCATTGCAGATGCGCCATCTGTGAAAAGTCCAATGAGTTTCTTCCAATCCAAATCCCTTTTTCCAAGAAAATTTTATATTGAATATATCTTCAGATGTAGTACCTGCTGTCAAAGATTGGGAGTACAAAATCTCTTCTTGAATGACATCTCCGCCGATGTAACGAACATAAATAACTGTGCACAATTAACGATATCGGTGGATTCATCGCAACTAATGGCAAAAAATGGCGATAATTTTACTTTGTTAATTATTTATGTCTTTATATCTGCTGCAATGTCATTGATTCTACGCTTGACTGTGTTATTGGAAAGAGAAATAGAATTCATTTTTTGCTCTGCATCTTCTTCTAAAATCATTTGCGTGGATTTTAGATACATGGTTTTATTAATTCTTCACTGATAGTATGAGGTTTCTTTTGCTTTGCTATCATAAAACCTATTTCAAATGAAGCTTTGAGATGCTGCGATACACCTGTGTGATAACTTCCCGATTTATCCAGTCTCATCCGCTTGAGTGATTCTGCTTTATAAGAAAAAAGCTCTTTCGTCTTCAAAACCAGAGTAGGATGTTGCTGCTTCAAACGCCTTTCAAGGCGATGGGGCCTCATGCTATCATTAATTAAATGTTTCATACATATCACACACTGAGGCAATTGCAACTCGTCTTTCTCTCTGAAGGTAATTCCAAACTTAACGTAATCTTCGAAAAACTTTCTTCTTTTCGCTGCCATTCTGCACTTATAACAATAAAACAAATAAGTAATAAATAATTACTGATTATATGCCCATTATTTTATTCTACTAGACTCTAGAAGACTATCCGTAGCGAAATTCTTCTCGAAATCGTTGCACACCGCTAAAAAAATGCAAATGAAGATTGGAAAACTGGCGCTTTGACGTACTATATGAATGGGTCGTTACCCCGGGAGAGACATACGTTTTGGCAGTTCACCTTGTCATTCTTGCCACCTAAAATTGCGACGTTGCCGGCTCATCGGACAATTTCGCTACCTCTGCTATTTTGATAGAATGTTATAAAAAAAGAAGCAGCTTTGAATAAAAAATTGAGGGATACCAATGGAGATATATAAAATTTGAGGCGTAGCAATGTTTGCCAACAAACTAAAAAAAGCTGTTATTTCCATTTTGCATCGCCTGGCGTCTATGAGGCGGAACGTTAATGTCTCTGAACACTTTTTATAAATGTCCAGTTTTATAGGGTAAATACGGGACCTTCTTCCAACAATTGAAAAAAAAAACAATTTTTTAATTATACAAATATATTTATTAAGTATTTGATCTAAAATTTCATGATCATTAATGAGAGAAGTACGATTTTCATTTTCTCTATTATTTAGTAGGGGAATATGGTTTTTTAGTAACTGAATTCGCACTTGGGCGAGGAAGACCCTAGGAAACCTTAACTGTCACTGCTAAGATTAATTGTATCAGACGAAGAAAAATCAAGTCGTTCCACAATTCAGGCCTCATTTGTACAATCGAAAAACGCGAGCATGCCATAGCTATTAACCTAAAAAATAGCATTGAAGTAACGGTTTATCCGAGGGTCATGTTTTAAGTAAGAACCGTTTTGTAGTCCAGTCAGAGAAATTTTATTTATGAATGTAAATTGTATCGCAAACAAAAATATGAACAATTTTTTATTTTTCAACTTAACCACCATAAACAGTCAAACACACGTCAAGCCGAGGCACCAGTTTTTGTGTTAATTTAGCATCTGAAACTTATCCTGCGGCTTTCATCTCGACTATTTCCCTCGTCTTAATTTCTACCAATCACAAACGCGGAATTTTGAATTACATATGGTTTATAGATAGAAAACTTGTCAGCTGTTGTCACCAAAAATTACAATACCTTTGATAACAAGTAATTATGGCCTCATAGGACAGCAGAAAACGCCGCTAAGCTAAATTTTGTAATATTGTTTTTAAACAGTGATATTCAGCTTATATAGTGAAAATGAGTCGCTTTGGAAGTGATTCTTTGACTATATTGATCTGGCGATTGAGATATATCTCAAGGCTCACCTCGTTTGTTGCGCAGATATCCTGTTTCCCTTAGAAGAGTTGGAGGTAGACCTAATTTCCACTTTGTAGACACTTGACACCCACGTCACAACACTAAAACACCAAAGAAATACTGAGAGACAGTCGAGAACCTTATAGTAAACACCACTACTGAAAAAAGCAGCTAAACCGAATAGAGCTCTGCACGGAGCTGCGAACGCCTAGACATTCCACTGCGCCGACGGTTGCCGAGAGACTGAAGCGTGTGAGTGCTGTACCTCGCTGCGGCGATACGGTACGGCCGGGTAGTACAGCCACGCCCCTTTCCAACTCCCACTCCGCGCTTCTGCTACCGGTCAACGTAATGTTGGACCAGCGAAAGATTGCAAGCCGAAAGAATGCGGACAAAAAATTGCGAAGTTGTCAGATGTTCTACATAAAATGCGGTCCATACATATTAACATATTTAAGATATAGAATTGTTCCGCTGAATTTGGCAATGTAGCTGGAAAACCCAGGCCGCAGGTAAACATCCGGTCGCTGATTGGTCCAAAACTCTTATCTTATCTGAAACTAGAATAACGTGCCGATGGCACGGTCATTTATAAACCTACTCCCATAGGCGTAGGCAGTTGGCAAATACTTTGAAAATATAATTTACTGTTTAGTGGTGATAATGGAATTCAAGCATGGGAAAGTTATTCACAGCCAGGCAAGGGAAATAATAGCAAACGTGATACGTGCTTGCGATGCAGAAGCGGCTAACAATACTTTCGTTTATCCACTGGTAGCTAGAAATGCAAGGGCGGCATATTATACGGGTGTTAGTGAACGAACTATAAGTAAAATTAGAAAAGAAGATAAAGACAGGCAAAATGCAACCTCCACACAGCCTTTAGCTTCTCCCGGAAAAAAGAGATCACGCCCTTCTGTGATCCAAAAAATTGATGGAGTCGATTTTTCCATTATTCGGAGAATGATAGAAAAATTTTACTGTGATTTTAAAGTGGTACCTACTTGTAGTAAACTTCTAATCAAACTGAAGGAAGAAATGGAATTTCCATTTGGTAAAGAATCGTTGAGGCTGCTTTTAAAAGCAAAAGGATTTTACTGGCGTAAATGCCACAACAAAAGGAAATTACTAATGGAAAGACCCAGTATTTTACATTGGCGATACAAGTATCTTAGGTCTATTAAAAAGTTCCGGGAAGAAGGAAGGCATATTATTTATTTGGACGAAACTTGGGTTGATAATGACCTCACTTTCAAGAAATGCTGGCAAAGCGAAGAAATTATGGGTGTCCTGAGCAATATAAGTTCTACAGGTAATAAAGTTTCTTTCACCTCGATTTTGCTTATTATACATTTTTCTCAATTTTGGAATATTCTTAATAAGTGCTCATTTAATTTGTCTAATTGAATACATAATCCCTTGCAAGTATTTTTTTCTCAAAAATATGTTTTTTATACATAGTGATTCAAAAAGGTGTTGGCAAACTTAAAATAACACTAAAATGAGGCTATTTATTCATTTCCAGGACGACTTATAATTGTTCATGCGGGTTCGCAAGATGGTTTTGTTCCTGGAGCCTGTCTCATTTTCAAGGCTGGCTGTGCCACTGGTGATTATCACGGTCAAATGAACCAAGAAAATTTCACGAAGTGGCTTACTGAAAAACTATTTCCTAACATTCCTCCTAATAGTATTATAATAATGGATAATGCACCTTACCATTCAGCTTTGGAAGACAAGCCTCCAACTAGATCTTCTCTAAAAAGAGACATCATCACGTGGTTGAGCAAAAAAGGTATAGAGCATGATCCTAATGCTAAAAAAATGGAGCTTTATGAAATAGCTTGTCTACATAGGCCACCATCTGATGAGAAAAATTATAAGATAGATAATTTAATAAGAAGTTTCGGACACACCCCACTTCGAACGCCACCCTATATGTGTCAGTTTAATCCCATAGAGATGATTTGGGCACAAGTAAAATTTTTCATTAGAAGCCATAATACAAGCGGCGAATTTACTATAAAAAAACTAGATGAAATTTCTAATAAGGCCATCGCTTCAGTAAGTGCCAGTGACTGGCAAAAGGTTATTGGACATGTTATAAAAATTGAAGATGAATATTGGGAAAAATTCATTCAAGAAATACAGGAAGAAATAATAATCAACATAGGAGGTGAAAGTGATAGCAATGACAGTTCCTCAGACAGTGATCATGACTCTAATCAGGATTGAAACTATACTAGATTGGCTACCTTTTAGAATTTTTAGATATTCATTTATTATACTATTGGTTTGTGGCTTTTAGTATCTCAGTAGAAAGTCTAATTCTATGTGTTGTTTATGGGTTATTTCATCAAGAAATTACTTTTTGTTTTCCTATATTTTTCTATTCAGTCAGATATTTTTGACTTGTTGTATTCTATTTTAGAAGAATGCATAATTTGTTTTGCTGTTCAATCATAATGCGTACATAGGAATATTACTTGTTGCCTAAAAAATATATTTATTTTGTTCTCAATATTCAGTGTTTGTGTATATTTATTTCTTATAATGTATGTTTGGTATCACGTCATTATGAATCGCAAAAAAATATTAATACTACCAGTTGTAATAAAATATAAATTCAATTAATAATTCAAGTCTCTCCGATCTCCGCCTATGACTCCATATAAAATCGTCTAATGGTAAGGTTTTTTCATCGCATTTCCCCCTTTCGTCCCTAGCAATCTTTGGCTGGTCGATCAGTAAACGTCGAGTCGGTTCAGGGGCAGACGCGCGGAGTGGGAGCTGGACAGGAGCTATCGCCATAGTGAGGTAGAGAACTCGCACGCTCTAGTCTCTCGGCAACAGTTGGCGCAGCGGAATGTCTACGCGTTCACAGCTCCGTACAGAGCTCTATTCGGTTTAGCTACTTTTTTTCATTAGTGGTGTTGACTACAGGGTTCTCGATGTCTCTCAGTTTTGCATATTGCATACACTGAGAAATTAGTCATATACTGAGGTATTTAGGAAAAACTAAAATTTGGCCAAATCGTTTTTATTTTTGTCTGACTTTATTTTAAGAAATGTCAAAAAACTAATGGCACTACTTAGGCACTACATGATGGTGTTTTAAAAAAAGTGCTACACTGTATCTAATAGCAGTTGTTTCTACGACTTCAACGATGTATGACGTTACATTTGTTTTTTAGTTATAAAAAAGGTGTTTCTTTTTCATTTTATTTAAGTAAGCGTTGCAAACAAATGCTTGATATAATATTGTGTGATTACTGAGTTTAACCTAGTCTGATCCTCAAAACTATAAGCAAGGCCTCGAACGAACGGTTCAAGGAATTGATGATAGTAGAGGTAGCAAAATCGTCCGAAGACCTGGCAACACCGCAATCTAGGTGACAAGATATACTTTCAAAACGTATGTCTATCCCGGGTTAGCGACGGAGTCATTTAGAAAGTCAATGCGACAATTTTCCAATCTCAATTTGCATATTTTTAAGTATTGTGGAACGATTTCGAGAAAAAATTAGCTACGAATAGTCTAGTAGAGTATATTTCAATAGTTGTCTTGCGTGGCCATGTTATCTTTACTCGGGCCTTTTATGTTAATAACGTAATGTATTCAACACTATATTGGCCACCGGAGATTTATATTTTTGTAGGCAGGTTGATGTTATAATAGTAATTTTAAATACATTTGG